TACCCATCGTCTGATTTGTTCCCCTCTGTCACCTCTTACACTCACACTGACACCCACAGCACGGCTAGCATGGGCTGGGGACAAAAAATTTATCCCTCGATTATATCCACTGACAAGAGATAAAATTATATTGTCCTTATGCCAAAACACGGCAACGGGGAGAACATATATCCCCCGTCCGTAACATGGAGCCACATGAAAGATAAAAAAATTACGCTTTTTTGACATTTGAAAGGGACTATTTTATAGTAGTGCATTGGACGTGGGTTAAAGTTTAAAGTCTATCTCTCAGTTTATCTACTGTGGATATTATATCCACCGGTGTGCCCATGCTGGAAGGGTGGATTAAACTAAGCGAGGGGATAAACATTTTTTTCTTTCCCCGGGTATAAAGTTGTCTTTTGCCCATGTTAGCTCTGCAGGACGATGTGGGGAAACACAATAAAGATAAAGGGAAATGAAAAAAACCCTGTTCGTGTATTGCTTATTCGGCGTCTGTTTCGTGTGTTTGACGTCATTGCTTGGAGCGTCTCGTCGGTTCGCTGGCGGTGGGAGGGGGAGGGGGGCCCTTCTTGTACAGTAATAAACTTAGAACCAGAGTGAATGACATAGCCCAACGGATTAGTGAACGGAAGTGGCATTGGGCCGCCCATATAGCTCCAAGAAGTGACAACCGATGGGGAGGAAAGGTTCTCGATTGGCAACCTCGTACCGACCGGTAAGCGAAGTGTAAGGCTGCCCCCACTCAATGGAGTGACGAACTGGTAAGACATGCAGGAAGTCGATGGATGTAGGTGGCTCAGGACGGTGTTTTTTGACGTTCCTTAGGGGAGGCCTATGTTCAGTAGTGGACTTGTGTCAGCTGTAATGATGATGATGAAATTTGTAACTGCTCCCCATCTCCGGTCCGGACAAACTATACGGTTATACCGCCATCTATCGGAAACCATAAGATCTTTCTGGCACACTCTCAACGTTTTTCGGTACAAAATTTATAAAAATATTAATATTTCTTTGTAGTAATTTTTTTGTATTAATTTAAATTTTTTTTTCACATTGTATTGTATTTATTTAGCTATTTGGTAAAGGCTTGTCGGAAACCCTGTGAGCAATAAGCATACGGTGTTTACCTATTATTGAATGTGCACTTAGTTTATATTACTGTCTTAGAATTAAGCATACGTATTAGTGTAACATTTGTTGGTAAACCAAATAAATAAATAAAAATTAAAGTAGATTTTTACGAAACCACCAGTACGAAATTGGGTAATGTATTCTTACATCGCCACCATTCGGCATGCTAAAAGTCAATAATAATAATGTCCCCCCACACCGAACTTCGGTCACGGTCAGTCTCAAAATATCATCAAAAAATCAATCAAAATAGCAGGTTAACGCTGCTGAGTTTCGTATGGTGAGTGTAGAGAACCGGAGACCCCTTTTACTGGAAACGAGGCATTCCATCTTAGTCCTTACGGGTGACAACGCATCTGCATTTTGATTAGTAGTTGGGGATGGATGTAGATGTCTACGGGCCACAGTTGTCACTTACCATCAGGTGGACTGTGTGCTCGTATGTCACCCTTATCCTATAATAAAATCAATCTGAGCAGAACAGGATTATAGTGCCCGAGTGCATGCGCAAGCGCAGATGCACTCTCTGTTCCCTCACTCTCATAGTCCGATGGGACGGCAATCCCGAAAAGACTAGAGAGAGATCAAGCGCAGGACGAATGATAACGTACTTTCCAATGCACAGAGGTGAAACACCGCCTACTTCCTTACTTCGGGCTGCTATTGAAAATTTCTTAACAGAAAAACCCGATAACTGATTTTAGCTCGACCCCAAGATTCGAACTCCGGACCACATTATTGTTGATGAGTCGCGCTTACGACCACTAATAGACCAACGTGACAGTTATCGTACATAAATACGTGTGGCTGTGCTTCTGTCTGCGCAGATGGCTGTGGGTGTGTCCGTACGTGTGTCTTTGCATGTGTCTGTACTTTAATACTTACGTATGTTCGTGTGTCTGTACGTCTTTACGGGTACCAATATTTATGTATCTGTGCTGTTGTCTAGGCTTGTAAGCGAGCTTATTTCCGTGCGTCTAAGCGTGCGTCTGTGCTAGTGTTTGTGCTTGTTTCTGTGCACTTGTCTGTGCGTCTATACAGGTGTCCCACGTACCTATGGATGTGTTTGTCTGTGCTAGTATCTGCGCTTGATTCTGTGCTAGTATCTGTGCTTATGTCTGCGCTTATTTCTGTCCGTAACCACACATACGGGCGTTAATACTTATGTGACAAAAAATTAAAGGTTGACTTCAAATTAGTCTATAGACAAAAATGTGATGTTACCATAAGTTTGACTAAGTGTTTAATAAAGTTTATACGAGTATATTGGATAATGATATTGATGCCAAAAAGAGCAAAAATATAATAGTAATTTTTTATCAGACTGATATAAGAGTGTTATGTTACAAGAAAAATGTTTGTTATTGTAAGATTTAAGTCTTATATTAGGACTAATGTTGATTTAAAAAAATAATTTTGATTTTAGTTTTTAAAAGGGTAGAGATTTGCCAAATAATTTATGTTATTTTTATAAAAAAATAATAAATAAGCAATATAGTAAATTTGTGTTTTTTAAAAAGGAGCCTCCCAAGCGATCACTAGTATTAAGCTGTAGTAAATTTATATTAGTATTCTGGGGTTAATAATTGTATTTTTAAGAAACGTAAATAATATTATGGGATTCAAAATCACATTGGGCAACACATTTTGGTAAATTGAGATTTTTTTCGCAGAACTAGACGATGAAGACATCAGCAATTTGTTAGATGATTCGGACATTGGGGACTTCATACCTTCCGACGAAGATTACGAAGACCCAGAATATGTACAACCAGAAAGCAGTATTAGTTCTACGGAGGAAGAAAGTGATGGACCTGACGTAAGTACAACATTTATACAAGCTCGCGGAAGGACTAGGCGTGTCAAGGGGGGGTTTTCTCGTGGGCAGTCAAGAAGAAGGTCACGTGGGCGTACACGTAACAGTACTGGCAGCAGAGTAGATAATAATATACCATCAACTGCATACGAGAGCTGGTCGCACCAAGAATTTTCCCCGATTTAACCTCTTCTAACAGAGCCATCATACCTGCTCATTAATACAGAATCTTTCTCCAAGATAGACTATTTTAGACAATACTTTGACGATGAAATACTAACCATATGTGTCGAGAAGACGAATCAAAAAGCTGTTAGATTAACTGGTAACAGTTGAAATCTAACATTATCAGAACTGAAAATGTACTTTGCTTTATGTTTGATAATAGCTTGTATCAACTATCCAATTCTTCGTATGTACTGGTCGAAAATATGGCTGATTCCAATTGTGGCTCAAAACATGTCACGTAATCGATTCCAACAATTACGAAACTCGTTGAAATTTGTCTTTGATGACGATATCACACCTGAACAAAGAGCCAAAGATAAACTCTTCAAAATGAGACCGCTAATTGATCATGTCCAGAAAGGTTGTCGTCTACAAGACAAAAATCAATATATTTGCGTGGATGAAATGATCATTCCATTCACCGGGACCTGCAGAATAAGACAGTACTGCCCAGGAAAACCGCACCCCTAGAGGTTTGGAGGCTTTTGAGCTGGCAAATCCGAATGGTGTAGTATACAACTTTGACATTTATCAGGGAAACCCAACTTACCCCCAATACGAAAACACTAACTTCAGTCTAGCAGAAAAGGCTGTACTGGCACTTGCGGACCAGCTAGTTCCGGGTCACGTCCTATACTTCGATCGGTATTTTACTTCTCAGAAACTGGCAGATGAACTTAACAGAGATGTACTTTGCACAGGTACTTTGATGAAAAATCGTATCTCTCATGGGTGTCAGCTAAAAAATTATCTAGTAATGTAGTGTGAAAGCAGAGGCAGCACTCATGTGCTAGTGAGGCCAGATGGTAAATTGCCTGTTACTAAATAGTTTGATAATAAGTCAGTTATTTTTTTATAAACTATTGAAGCCGAGAACTGGGATTTCTGTCAACGCTGGTGCAAGAAAACTAAGAGATATGTAACTGTTACAAGACCACAAGTTGTACGCGAATACAATGAAAATATGGACGGCGTTGATTTGGCCGATCGCTTACTTGCAGTCTGCCCTAATAAATAGACACAGAGATTCTTGTCTCATATGACTGATTTGACCGTTAGTAACTGTTGGCTTATGTTTAAAAAGGATGAGATTAAAAAAGGAGTACCAGTGAAAAAAATACTGATGCTCCGAGAATTTAAATTACAATTTGGAGAAGATTTGTTAGAAGAAATCCTCCGGAGCACAAACAATCAAGAGAGTTCTGATAATAGTGATCTACGGAACTAGAACATTCCACGTAAAAGGGGTAGACCAACTGTTACTTTTCCAACTATGACACGCCACACTTCTGAAGCAAAGCACATGCCAATTCTAGAAAAGAAACAGTCCAGGTCCTGCCACTACAATAAAACTCATTTTAAATGTAGTACAAGTTGTGGCGACATGCATTTTTGTCATTCTTTTGCATGTTTAAGTAACGGCGTGTGCGCCGACGCGAGGTTCGTGTCGGTTGGGGTCGGAAATGCTCGGCCCCGTTAGCGCTGCCTTCGTGACGGTCCGGGCGCCTTCGGTTTTTACTGGCAGTCAGCATTTAAACGGCCTCAACGCTAGACCTCACACTCGCGCCGCCGGAATAACGGTTATTTTTAAATCACGTCTAACTTATTCTCGGCTTCCTATCTCGAGCACTCCTTACTTCTAATTAGTAATTGTATTTTTATTATTCATTGTTTTTGCTACGTACTTATAAATTTAAATTGCCTGTGTAATAGAAGAATATATCTACATTTTGTTTTTGAGAGTGAAGACGCTTTTATTTGCCTAGCAACAACCCCACAAGTGGTGACCCCGAGAAGAACATAGCGTACAAAGTACATAAAAATGTGGCAAGATGCTAGCGCAGATGCATCGAATAGCAGCACTGGTGACAAGGAAGCGGTACTTTGCCGAGTAGGCATTAAGATGCCGTCATTTTGGCCCGAAAAACCGACGCTTTGGTTTGCACAGTTGGATTGCCAATTCGCAGTAGCGAATATTACATCGGATGTCACAAAATATTATCATGTAATATCAGTGTTGGATCCAAAAATTGCTGCGGAAGTCGAAGATCTAATAATTAGACCACCGGCGAACGAGAAATACGACACATTAAAACGTGAGTTGATTGCTAGACTATCTGCTTCAAGAAGTGAGCAAATCAAACAGTTGCTCATGAATGAGGAATTGGGAGATCGCAAGCCAAGCCAGTTTTTGCGGCATATTCGCAGTTTAGCCGGATCAGGGTTCCCAGATGAGGTCCTTATGGTCGAGTCGGCTACCCAGTTTGCTACAAACTATAGTGGCAATGCAAGATAACTTTCCACTCGACCAACTTGCCCAATTAGCCGATAAAGTAGCTGAGGTTACGCCACATACGTCAGCACAACAAGTAGCTTCAACATCCACTTCAGACTCATCGCCAGCATTCGAAGACCTGAATCGGAAAATTGATGCGCTGACCAAGAGGCTCGATGAAATGTCGACAGCAAGAGGACGTCGCGACTTCCCGAAAAGGAGGTCGAAATCCAGCAGCCGGCGCCGCAGTCAGTCGAGAAGTCGTTCTCGTGCTGATGGCCAGCGATACTGCTGGTATCACTTCATCTACGGCGAGAAAGCAGCTAAGTGCATAAAGCCTTGTAAATATACAAAAAACTAGTTGGGCGGTCGATAGCTGCGACCGCTGATAAGTGTAAGTCGAACGCTAAGCGTTTGTTCGTCACTGACGCTAAAACTAAAGTGCAGTTTTTAGTCGACACTGGATCTGATTTGTGTGTTAAGCTTAGTGCGCATGCAGCGACGCAATAAAACTAATTATGAGCTTTTCGCTGCAAATAATACTGTAATTGCTACATATGGTTGGTTAAGTTTATGTTTAGATTTAGGTTTAAGGCGCGCATTTTCTTGGCGCTTTGTAATAGCTAATGTGAGCAAGCCGATAATAGGTGTAGACTTTCTATCCTTCTATAACTTACTCGTGGACGTACGTAATTCACGATTAATTGATAATTGCACTTCGCTTACGTCAGTCGCCTCGAATGCATTTGCTTGCCCGTGCCCGCACATAAAGGTCATTTCAGGTGATTCATCGTTCCATCGGATACTCCAAGAATATCCTGATATAATGCGGCCGGTCGGAGCTCCTTTGGAGCCAAAAATCAAGCACCATACGCAGCATTATATCAGAACGACCCCAGGCCCACCTGTGTGTTCGCGACCAAGGCGACTAGCACCTGATCGCTTAAAAATAGCGAAGCAGGAGTTTGAAGAAATGGTTCGTACGGGTATAGCGCGTAGGTCGGAGAGCTCATGGTCGTCACCCCTCCATTTAGTGCCTAAAAAGGGCGAAGGTTGGCGACCCTGTGGGGATTACCGTGCACTAAATGCTCGCACGATACCAGATCGATACCCAGTACGCCACATTGCTGACTTTTCACACAATCTCTTTAATCGTAAAATTTTTAGTAGACTAGACTTAGTGCGAGCGTACCATCAGATACCAGTTGCGATAGAGGATGTAGAGAAGACAGCTATTACGACACCCTTCGGACTTTTTGAGTTCCCACTAATGAACTTTGGCCTGCGAAATGCCGCGCAAACCTTCCAGCGCTTTATGGACGAGGTCCTCAGGGATCTCGATTTCTGCTTTGCGTACATCGATGACGTATTAGTTGCTTCCGCTAATGAGATGGAGCACCAGGAACATCTACGTGCGGTATTTTCGCGTTTCAGCGAATACGGTATTTTATTAAATACAAATAAGTGTGTATTCGCCGTGCCGCAGGTGGAGTTTCTGGGCTACCTGGTTTCTTCGGAAGGCACTAAACCGGTTGGTGACAAGGTGAAGGCTATTCTCGACTTTAAACTACCTAAAACTATCAGGGATCTTAGGCGGTTTTTAGGAGCATTAAACTTTTATAGACGCTTTATACAGGATGCTGCCAAGCTTCAGGCTCCTCTCCATGCACTACTTAGTGGTCCATCGGTGAAGAGCAAGAGCAACATTAACTGGACTGCTAACCTAGAAAGCGCTTTTAATGCTTGCAAGGCAAGCATCGCTAATGCCGCTCTTCTGGCTCATCCAGATATGTCTGCTCCGTTGGCCATAGTAACTGACGCATCCAACTCCGCCATTGGTTCAGTATTGCAGCAGAAGGTCCTAGGTCATTGGCAGCCGTTAGGATTCTTTTCGCGTAAGCTTTCACCAACGCAAATTAAATACAGTGCATATGATCGTGAACTCTTAGCTATTTACGAGTCAGTAAAATATTTTCGACATATGATAGAATTAAAACCCTTCTTTATAATAACTGATCATAAACCAATTATTTCAGCCTTTAAGAAGTCCCGCGACGCTTGCTCCCCGCGACAATTTAGGTATTTAGATTTTATATCCCAATTCACAACGGATATCCGTCACATTACCGGGAAGGACAATGTTGTTGCGGATGCGTTATCGAGAACGGATGCAATAACATGTTCGCTAGACCCTATTGCCTTAGCAGCTTCTCAGGACACGGACTCAGAACTCAAAAATATTTTGCGAACCGGTTCGTCTCTCAAGTTACAGAAGGTCTGTATTGGTGGTACGAAAATCTTCTGTGCCATATCTGGGCCCAGACATAGACCATTCATAACACCTGCATCCCGTAAAATGGTTTTTGATAATATTCATGGACTTAGTCATCCAAGTGCTAGGGCCACTATCAAATTGGTGACTGAGAGGTATGTATGGCCGGGCATTAGGAAGGATTGCCGGAATTGGGCGCGCTCGTGTATCTCATGCCAGAGATCGAAAGTATCGAGACACGTACACGCCCCTATCCAGGATTTTAAGCTTCCTACGGCCCGTTTCTCTCACGTTCACGTAGACTTGATAGGTCCACTTCCCGTCTCTGATGATTACCGATACTGCTTCACAGCTATAGATAGGTTTACCAGGTGGCCGGAGGCAGTGCCGTTAAAGGATATCAGAGCGGAGAGTGTAGCAAAAGCTTTTATATCATCGTGGATATCACGTTTTGGTTGCCCAGAAAAGGTAACCACAGATAGGGGGAAACAGTTTGAATCTCATCTTTTCAGGCAGATATCAGCGCTTATAGGTTCACGATATATACAAACTACTGCGTATCACCCGGCTGCCAATGGTCTAGTGGAACGCTTCCATCGACAACTTAAGGCAGCTATTATGTGTCACGCAGACGAGAACTGGACTGAGAAACTTCCACTTGTACTTCTGGGTATTCGTAGTGCATGGAAGGATGATTTGTCTGCTTCTACTGCTGAACTAGTTTACGGAGAACCGCTTAAGTTACCCGGCGACTTGTTTGAACCGACGGCTGATAGACTGACTGACTACACCGACTTTCTGGACAGGTTGCGTTTACATATGAAAAGGTTACAACCTACACCAGTTACTGGACATGGTACACGTAAAATCTTCGTTTTTAAAGATTTAGCGACTGTTTCACATGTATTTTTACGACAGGACTTTGTACGGAGATCGTTACAACCACCTTATGCCGGTCCGTATAAGGTAATAGAGCGCGGTAAAAAAAATTTCAAAATTGACGTTGCTGGTAGAATAGTCAACGTTTCTATCGACAGGTTGAAACCGGCCTATATCCTGACGGATGAACCAGGTAGTTCTGGTGCGACGTCGACTATACCAAGGACGCAGGGGACTAACGCTGCGAGTGATGGTACAAGAACACTTTCAACTCCTCCGCAATTCAGGACGTCTCGCTACGGTCGCCGAGTACGATTCCCTGATTTCTATCGACCTTAAAGGTCTCCGGGGGGGCTGATGTGGCGACATGCATTTTTGTCATTCTTTTGCATGTTTAAGTAACGGCGTGTGCGCCGACGCGAGGTTCGTGTCGGTTGGGGTCGGAAATGCTCGGCCCCGTTAGCGCTGCCTTCGTGACGGTCCGGGCGCCTTCGGTTTTTACTGGCAGTCAGCATTTAAACGGCCTCAACGCTAGACCTCACACTCGCGCCGCCGGAATAACGGTTATTTTTAAATCACGTCTAACTTATTCTCGGCTTCCTATCTCGAGCACTCCTTACTTCTAATTAGTAATTGTATTTTTATTATTCATTGTTTTTGCTACGTACTTATAAATTTAAATTGCCTGTGTAATAGAAGAATATATCTACATTTTGTTTTTGAGAGTGAAGACGCTTTTATTTGCCTAGCAACAACCCCACAAAGTAATGTTAACTTATGTTTAACCAAACAAAGAAATTCTTACGCTGATTTTCATGCCTGACTGATTTTAATGTGATAATAAAAAGATTTGATTTTTTAAAGTTAATAAAAAATAAGAAGTTTTGTTTTAATTTTTTTTCTTTGAAAAATTTAATACTTTTTAAGTCCAGAGACACTGCAATAAAAGTAGATAATTTAATTATTAAATAAAGAGATGAAAGTTTATGACTGATTAAGAATACCTTATAAATAATATAAAAACCATTTTTGATTTATTTACTCAATTGTACCCAATGTCCTCTAAAAATGACAAATAAAAAAATGCAGCTGATTTTGTTAATTCTGTCCATTGTCCTATTAAAAGAACAAAAGATATAGATTTAAAAATAGTTTGAATCGTATCATTATGGCCTGTTTACTGTGCGCGCGTGTGTGTGTGTGTGTGTGTGTGTGTGTGTGTGTGTGTGTGCGTCTGTGTCTGTGCTTGTATCTATCTGGTATGTTTGTCTCACCTGGCGTCGTGCTGCAACGAGTCCTGTATGGTCTGCAGCGCCGCATTGTTCTCCTTGACGGCGGTCAAGCTGCGGTGAGTTCCACACAATTCCACACACTTCGGCTCTCCATTAGCAATGTCCGTAGCGCTGTCTTCGCTGCACTCTGCTTATCCTTCTGGTAGTCTCGGAACTCGCGCTCCATCTGTTTACGGGGATTGTTTTTTTTTTATTAATTTTTATCTGTCTTTGGACAAAGTATCCCATAATTCCTACAACACTCACGATCTGAGATATTTTACTATTCTTCATGAGACCATAAACTATGATCTTTCACATTTGATGGGCGTTTGGAAGGACCATACTGTCACAGAATACCAGCATGAAATACAAGACCCTTTTTACTGAAAACCATCTAAGTCTTCAGGGGTTATGAAAAGCAGCTGCATTTTGAGTGTGATGTAGATTTCTATGAACCACAGCATCCACTTACCACCACGTGAACTGTGTGCCCATTTGTAGTCATTTTTCATCTTCGTCTTTCATCTATTTTAATTATTTAACTTCATACAACATATATAACGTATAGGCGAACTTATTGCCTGGGGCATTCTCTATGAGTCAAACTTAGACATAGAAATATGAAGTAGGTGTGTAAAATATTACTCTACTAGAGAAAAGGAATGTTCAATTCACATTTCTATCTTTTAACATTTCGTCAAGTTGGTTGTATTAGAAGCATTACTTTTAAGCTACAATGTCAAACATGTTATTTTACAACTATTGTATAGTATATAATATTAAGTAAATTAGGTTAACTGACATATAATTTTGTAAATTTGCATGCCAGCCAGCAGGCCGCGCAGCTTGTCACGCCGCTTGCTCGCCAACGTGCTCGTGTGCTGGGAGAACAGACGTTCCTGATAATAACAATAGGTAATATTGTTGCACAAGAAT